CAGGTGGATGTTTTGCTTCATTTCTTTCAAAAAAGTGCATGAATAATTGAATAGTAAAGTGCTATTGGAAAATTCCCTATTGCTATGTTTTTCCGTTGAACCAAAATAGCCCTAATGGATTTACATAAATGTATAGTGATAAGTGATGCAACAAGTGTACAACCTTTTTGCCGTAGCCATGTCGACCTCAGCATCATTGGGTTGGTCGTTGAAGCAGTTGAGGCAGAGGTGGCTGTCGGAGGTGTGGAGGATGATCTGAGGAATTTGTAGACGGCGTCCAGGGCACTGCTCTGTTGTGATGGATCGTTCTGTCGTTGGAGCAGCTCCGGTGAGCCGTAAGACGTCAAGGCTGAAGCAGCACAAGACATACGTCGTCAATCTCAAGTGGGATTCTAATAGCATCTCCAATAGATGATGTCAAATATATGTAAAATTTACATCACCCAAAACAATCTGACTACAACAGATGAGGTAAAAACTGTTGACTCTGAATTTAACTATCGAAACTAAAATTTACTATGGAATCTGAATGTCACTGTCGAAACTGAACGCAATGGTAGCAGAGAGGCACTTGACATGTAGTTTAGGGAGGGCCTGCGGTTCATCTTCAACATGCACCCCCCCTGATTCGCCAGCCACCACCGGGCGAACAGCCGGCCCCAGCGCCGCCTCCCCACCCCGAAACAACTCACCACCGCCGGTCCGCCGCCCCGGCCATCCCTCTAGGCCCCCTGCCCCCACCCTGAACCCTAAGATAGATAGTTGGGTACCTCTCCGGCGAGCCCCCGTCCCCGCTGTGGGTGGTTCTTCCTTAACTCCAGCGAGCCCTCCCCCACCCCCTAAAAATCGACTGACCCAAAAGTCGATTCAGTCGACTGAAGTGTAGCTAAATCGGAGTAGAGAAGCAATACGAGCGAGGGGGAGAGCAGCAGCAGCAGCGCGAGCGAGAGCCGGAGCAGCACCAGCTGGGCGAGCGAGCAATCGAGCGAGAGCCGGAGCGGCAGCAGCAATGCGAGCGACCGAGCGAGAGCCAGAGCTGCAGCGGCAGATCCGGCTGGTATGGACGCCGTCGCTGAAGGGGCCTCGCACTGGGGGAGAGCCGCCGTGGAGATCTCGCCCGCGGCACCGGCTTCAAGGTAGCCGCTCATGAGGGTGCGGGATGGAGCACAGTCGGCGCTGGGAGGTCGAGTTAAGGAAAAGGTGTGATGTGATGAGTGTACAACCTCTTTGGTGGCGTCGAGTAGGCCTCGGTTTCGTCCGAGGAGTCGGTGAGGATGGTGCGGTTCCGGTGGAGCAGGTTAAGGCGGCGCTGTGGGGATGGAGCAACCGCGATAGACGAGGCGATCGTTGGAGCATCTCCTTGGAGGTGGAGGACGGGGCGGCTGAACCGGCGGGACGACGAGATGGACGACGGATCCTCATCCGGGGAGCTGGACGAGGGACGTCGAGCTATTGCGGTGGATGACGTCGTCGGGGAAGAGGCTCCGGCTGGGCCGCGGTGAGGTGGCGGACGGAGGAGGGTGGGGTTTCGCGGCTGGAGCGAAGAGGTTATGGAGGCCTGGGATTTCGAATGGTGAAAAGCGGGCGATGGGAGGGGGTGAACCATGACTTAGGGACGCGCTTGTCCAAAATGTAGGGTGTGTTACAAAAGTACCCCCCAGTGATTTGAATTAGTGGCCCTTTCGGCTCAGGCTTAGAAGGGAGGTTTCGCGTGTCGGGATTTGACAGCTGGAGGGAGTTTTCGCGCGCGTTGTAATTTTGGGATAGCAAGGCGCGGATTGTGAAGGCACCAGTTTTGGGAGCACGATATCTGAATTTTCGGGATATAACAAGACGCTGGTTGAATTTTAGGGACCAGCCTAACGTGTATTAATATTGTACTTGTACGTACCAAATCAATTCGCACGTCCCTCAACCAAAAAGAAAACGAAAAAAAATAAAACTATTCACACCACACAAAGAGAGAGTCTTGCCCGTTTTACTATATAAATGCTATTCAAAGCTACTCCTTCCTTCCATATATAGGGCCTAATACGTTTTTTGATGCTAACTTTGACCAAATATTAGGGCAATAGTATATGACATGCAACTTACACAAAGCACACCATTAATTTCATCTGTGAAAGGTTCTTTCAATGATATAATTTTCACATTATGCATGTCATGTACTATTAATCTTGTCAATAGTCAAAGGCGGTCTTAAAAAATTCATTACGCTCTATATAGATGGAAGGAGGGAGTATGAATCCATGTTATGTCCAATTAAATTTTTTCACTTGCTGTATAATGCATGTAACCTACTCATACCAACATTTTAATGCATTCCAAATGTTTACACTACCGCTGCAATTCGAACTAAATTTGAATTTGTTTCTCTATTTCAATAAGAATCTACAATCATGATTGTTGCCGGTCATCCCGCGCCATGTCCATGCCGATGCCGTCGGGATGTTGGTCAGAGGAATGTCCATGCCACCGCCAGCCGGCGATTTTACGTGAATTTCTCCACGGGGGGACATGGGCAGGGACATCAAGATATGGTCGGAGCCCGACGAGTTTCGGCCGAAGGGGTTCCTGGCCGGTGGCGACGGGGACGGTGTCGGCCGTTGCCGGGGCCCAAGCAGATCAGGATGATGCCATTTGGCGCCGGGCATAGTTTCTGCCCGGGCGTGGGCATGGCGATGGTGAACATGAAGTGCTTCTTGGCCGCGCTCGTGCGCGAGTTTGAGTGAGCACTGCCGATTGGCACCAGCGCTGTTGACCTCACGGAGCTGGATTCCTTCTTCAAGGTGATGAAGAAGCCGCTTTCCGCGCGTGTCACGCGACGCATCAAATCCATCTAAAGATCTCAGAATCTGCACGATGTGTATAATAAAAATGTTGTGTTTCTACCGTTGGGGTGGAGTAACGAGCTATTCGGCTCGTTAAGCCCGTGCTCGTCAAGGCATGGCTCTGTAAACTCATTAAGCTTAACAAGCTGAAAACTTGCTCGGCTCTGTTCATTTGAAGCTCGTGAGCGTTGTTCACATACTACAATGTGTTACGGCCTTCAGGACAAGAATGTATGTGTTTCTTTACGAAGAAGATGGTGACTACATGAGGAGGTGCACTAGTTTGCTACCTTCTAGGGTTAGGTCGATTTGATTGAATAGATCGACTTGGGTGCTCCAAAATGTTGTCACATAAGACAAAAATATGTGTTGGGTTATACTAACGAGCCTAACGAGCTGCTCCGGGTGAGGTTATCGAGCGTTCATTAAGCTCGTGAGCTACGAGTTTTGGTCCAGCCCTAGCGGGGACCTATAGCCGGTGGAAGCTTCTCCCGCATGAGTTGACTCTTCGGGTGACTAGGGTTTCTGCTGGTCAGCCGCCCGCCACCTCTTTGACAGCGGTAGGGGGGCTAGCGTTTCGGTGTCCCAGGCCGCCGTCTTGTGGTGTGTCGCTGGTCTCTCTCTCCCCACGATGTGACTGATGGCTGATGAAGTTCACATGTAGATGGATCAGTTACTCTTTCTTGTTTACTTTTATTGGATCAGCTATTTTTTCATGTGAGTTTGAGGTTTTGAGACTGTTCGATTAACCTCAACAGAGGGTTCTCTGTCCTCCGATGGCTCCGCCGACCGAGACTTCTTTTCGTCAATGAAACTACTAAGTTGCAGTTGCCGCGGTTTGCAGCAAGCAGCGACAATCAGGGCTCTTCAAGATGTTATTTCGAGTAGAGACCCTGACGCCATCTTTCTGTCAGAAAGAATGGTCGGCAGAGCGTCTTAGGATAAGAATGAAAATGGATCATAAAGAGGTGGTCCGTAGCGATGAGAGGAGTCGTGGATGAGCAGGGCGAAGACATGGCGGCACACGGGTAGGGTTAGCGGCAGCTGCGAGTCGGGCGCGGGAGGGCGCGGTACCGAGTCGGGTTAGGGTTTGTGGGGGCGGGAGAAACAGCGGCGGCGGGTGATGCGGTGGCTGTGGGGGGCGCTGCAGAAGGGAGGCAGCAGCGAGGGTGCGGCGCAACGGGCGGCGGCGGACGGCGCGGTAGGGAGGCGGAAGCGGGCGGCAGCTGCGCAGCTGGAGAGGGGGGGAGGGCATGCTGGCAGCGAGTGCGGCGGTGGTGGGGATGGGCGGCGGCAGCGACGGCGGCAAGCCCTAGGAAAGGAACGACCAAGATGATACCATGTAGAAGGAAAAGTTTGCAATGCAATAGACGTTGTATTGATGGGGTGCGGTTGCACGTATATATAATTACAGGGAAAGCCCTTACCTAAACTATACAAGACTAGGAGGTGAGCCACAACTTCAATATACATGCAACACAAAATACATACTCAACAAAGCCCACTCTCGGTCTCACCAGCCGTGACGGCATCGTCCCCATCACACCCAGGCAGGACACCGCCGGGTACTTCTTCTCTCCTCCTTATTCTTTGGTTTTGCCCCAATCAGGGGTTTAATATTTTGGTCACTGGAAAGTTTCAGACCCCCGGATAATCTAAATTTAGTTTGTACATTCGATTTTAATTTGAATCTCGGCAGGATTTTGGGATTACAAATATTTTCATTGGAAATTCAATATGTTCAAGTGACAAATCTATAAAATTCCCAATTTTCCATTGGAAATTCCAAATGTTCAGCCCTCAATTTGCAATGTAGACCGATGATTCGTACGCGGTGCACGTGCTGGACGCCATCGTTGGCTACGACGCGCATGACGCCGCAGCCACCAGAGCAGCATCCAAGTACATCCCTCACAGCGGGTACACGCAGTTCCTGAAGAAAGACGGGCTGAAAGGGAAGAGGATCGGCGTCCCCAATGGCTTCTTCCAGGGATATGGACAGGCGCAACTGAATGTGTACAGGCAGCACCTCGCCACAATGAGGTACGTGGTGCCGCTTTACATTTTCACCGCCCATCGATGAATATGAATTTTGGCAGCTGATTTGTGTAAATATAAGTTGATTCTTCATTTTTGCAATGGAAACATGGAGCGGTTGTCATCGAGAACATGAACATCAACATCGATATTGGTTCCAACGAGGGGATCGCGATGCAGGCAGAGTTCAAGATAAGCCTGAACGCCTATTTGGCAGACTTGGTCTACTCCCCAGTCCGCTCCCTTGCCCAAGTCATAGCATTCAACAACGCACATCCCATAGAGGTAAACAATAAGTGTACAGAAGCAACTGAACCTTAGGTTTATCTCTTGATTTCTTGTCATAGCTTCGGAGTTAGTGTGGTGGATTTGCTTAACCTAACCCATGACATGTTTGTTGTAGGAGCGGGTGAAAGATTTCGGTCAACCTGACCTTATCGCGGCCCAAAACACAAACGGCATTTGCACCGTGGAGAGAGCCGCGATCCGGCGGCTGAAGGAGCTGGACACGGAAGGGCTGGAGAAGCTGATGAAGGAGCGCCAGCTGGATGCGATCGTGGCGCCTAACAGTGATATATCTAGCCTTCTCGCCATTGGCGGCCAGCCTGACATCATTGTGCCGGCAGGGTACAATGAGCAAGGGGTTCCCTTTGGGATATGCTTTGGCGGGCTGCAGGGGTACGAGCCGAGGCTGATCGAGATGGCCTATGCTTTCGAGCAGGCTACGAAAGTTAGAAAGCAACCCATGATCAAGCCCTAGCTAAATATAACTTCTTGAGTAGTGACGATGTAACCAACTCTACAGCCTCAAAAAAGGCTCCACTTACACTTTTCTCCTTACATGTCAGAGAATAAAACCCTGGAAGTAATACTTACTAGCAAAAAGGTCCGTGCGTTGCAACGGGTAAAAATAGAAAAGCGCGAGCACCTTTGCTTGCTAAAACCACTATATCACCGCTATAGATGATCACTTTTCCGCTGTATAAATAGAGTGGAGCAAAAGTTGCTAAGGAATTAATCTAGAAGGTATGTCATTTTATTCACTGTTCGGGAAATATGATGCAACAAAAGCTAAGAATTATGTGGCTGATAAATCACATCTTGTAGAATATACATGACCATTGATGTCGATATAAACATTAAGGGGCAGCAGACCTTCTTGTCTTTTCTCACGGGTTTAGTATGATTTTTATTCCATAGTAACATGCATGGTTATAAATCAGAGATAAGTTTTTCTCAATCCAGGAAGGTCCTAGATCCAACAACAGTCGTGCTATGATACGACTATATCCTGCTAGGCAATATGCAACCTCTGTTCTGATCTCTATGAATTTTTTGACGAATAAACTCCATAAGTGGAACAATCCAAGCTATTACCAGAAAGAATGGACAACATCATCACTGAATCCGACTGCATTATGATAGGCATGTCAGAATTTTGTATAGCTAGCCCGATGCCAATTATTATCGCATGCATCTTCGCATCAAGAGCTTCGTTGCATTGGAATACGTATCAATATGCAGCGAATATCACCGAGTCGTCCTGCTTCCGAAGCACCGTTTCGGTCGTTGCGGAACCGTCAGCTTCCACGAACACACCATCAACTAAGAGAGCAATCATGTTTGCCGGCAGTGCCGCAACAGAACTACTATTTTGTGGAATAATGCACTATTGTACCCTAATTTGTAGAATAATAGCAAAGAATTTGTTTAAATTTATGTATGTATGTTGATTGAATCCTATGACATGGATGCCATAGCTGACATGTTTTTTGTACCGTCTAGTAGTGAAAATCCTAGACATCTGTTTTGAATTAATGACATGTTAATCAAAATCAAACTATTAACACTTGGCATGATACAATAAAGTTTGTGTTGTAGAAAAGATCTTTGTTGCATATATAATATTATGTTTCTAGATACATCTATATAGACAAAGTATGGCTGTGACATGTGCTCCGGCGTTGGCAATTGTACGTGCGGTGGCAGGATATGGCTGGGCGTCCGATCCGGCCTCCACCCCGGCATGCTGCGGCGGTCTCCATGTGGACGACGATCCTTGGGGTTCTTTTTGCTCAAAGATGATGTTTTGCCGGTTCCATACTCTCATGGATCTTGCCGTTGATGAGTTCCGGAATGCTCCGACGGAGATCTTCATTCTGTGTTTGACATCTGTAGATTGCTGAATTGGATGGAATTCGGTCGTGTGCACCCTATTTCAGCCTGAGTGGCTTCAAGAGGGTGAGACGCGAAGCTTCGGTATCTGTTGACATTATGGGACACGCCGGTATTTCGATTTCCATGGTGAAGACAATGACGAAGAACGTCATGGCGACTGGAGTATGAGGCCTTGTAATGGCGGATCGACCCTTCGAGGCGAGGAGGACTTTGAATAGTGATCCGTGACTCGTAGCAGCGGCATCGGCAAGTGGGGGCGGCAACACAAGCAGAGTACAGAGTCTTAGCTTTCAGAGTGAAAACCGAAGATCTGGCCTTAATTGGTTGTGCCTGCTAGTTACCTTGTTGAAGGCATTGTTTTGAGAGCGCGAATCTGCTCCAGGGTGAAAACCTAAGATCTAGGATCGGGCGATGACGGTGTGTGTGCACTGTTTTCTTTTTGGAGGTGTCACTTTTGGAGAGTTTGGACTTCGGGTGTTGTTTAGGTGGTGGTTCGTGCTGCAGCTACAAGGAAGATCATTGTAGCGGGATCTTTATTTTTTGGCTGTGTGTAACCGTAGTGTCTTTACGGTATTGTGTTGTTGCAGAGGCTGGGTGTAATTTGTATCTCCGCGATATTAATATGTTCTGCTTATCGAAAAATATAGACAAAGTAAGACAACTAATTTGAGACGGGGGGAGTAGTATATAAGAATGGAAAACTGAGGCTAACAATGACGTGTGAAAAGCTGCAGTCGAACAAAGTTGAGACATTTAATTTCTGTCAAACAAATGTTGAGACATTTATTTCGCGACAGAGGTAGTAATTCATGGCGTCTGGTACAGAACAGACGATGTACTCCACCCTTTTGTCACGCGCTCATGAATCAAGTTTAATCAGCCACACATGAAGCGGCGATTTAATCTCCAAACGGGCTCATGAATCCCACTCTCTCCCTCAAATATGCGTGTCTAGAATTAATCAGGGAGCCCCCACACGTTCCATCATGGCTCACCAATCCTTAGTCTCTCCCATTTCTCATGAATCCCATCATAATTAGCAAACATATAATCTGATGGTCTATCTCTTCTCTTCCTTTAATTCCACCACAAACGCCTCACAAATTCTGTTTAATTTAATTTAACCAACAAATCTGATAGTTTCTCTCCCTTAGTCCCATTAAATCCAACATGCATGTCTTATGGACCTTGAGTCTTAGCTCATGCCAGACAACACACTAAAAACGTATATAAATTGATGTGAATAAGTTTAAGGGAGCAACGTGGGACTAACATAGTTGATTGTTGCAGTTTAGACTGGACGGGAAGTTATAAGCTCGATCCCTAGCGAAGTATTTATTTTTGGCTCTTCTTTGTCGTGACTTCCAGTAGAGCCCATTTTTGTTGCTGACGGCCCAATAGACAAGACTCGGCGATACGCCTAGGTAGCAGAGGCCCAGCTGGAAAACCACGTAGCTTGTAAGAAGTACATACGAAGAAACCAACCGGAAAACACAGGGACTTTCTACAAACTTGTGGATTCTGAGTACGTGCATGTTCAGCTGGCCCACAACCTCCACATCTGGTTGTATTCTAAAAAAGGAAAATAACTTTATTTTATTCACATCAGCTAACACACTCATCTGGCTGGCGTGGTGCGCGTTCCATCTCAGGGTGAGCGAGGTCACGTATTCGAGTTCTTTCAACGCCGTCCCTTTTTTTGCTTTTCCTTGGATGTCCTCTTGGGTTGTCCATGAGAACACGCGTGTCATTGGGCCAAGAGCCCACTCGTGCGTACGCCCTGGGCCAGTGCACCAACGAAATTTATGTTTGTAATGAAACGCACCGTTGAAGAAATAGATAGTACCACCTTGGATATTAAGACAAATATCAAAATCAATGAAAAAAACGGATAGAAAGAAGCGTATTATGCCATGGGAAGAAAGCGCACTGTGACGATGAACCCGACAAAGTCGATCCGTGCTTTATTATTAGGGAAAGACTAGCAAACGTGCCCGTGCGTTGCAACGGGAGAACAATAATAATCAGTAACATGATCAAGCAGAGTGAGTCAACAAAAATACAACAATTGTATCATTCTAGGAACCATCTCTGTAATCTATAAACATGATCAAGCACTCAACAGTCATAAATAGGTTGTCTAATAGAGCGAAGCACAACAAAGGGAATTCAGTTCACAAGAGCTTCCAAAGAGAATGTTTAATTTATGAATTTTTCTTGATAAGGAGGAGGATCTAAAGCTTGATATCACATGGAGGTTAAATTCATGTGTGTGACTGCTGCTCTACATCCCTCTATCTCTCACTTTAAAGGTACGACACCCAAGCCAAATATAAACATGTGAAAGTTCAGACAAACTAAGAAGGAATAGTCTGCAAGGACAAATAAGTTATTGACAACACCTTGCAGTCCAATGGTGGAATTTAAAGAATCATCTAAACCATTTGAATGAAAAACCGATGTACTAAATAGTTGAGGACTTGACGGTGCCCACAGGCCATTACTCTATGATGGTTCCAAGATAATTGACACAAATGAAACACGACATGTGACAAAATACAGCTAAACTGTTGGACTTTCAAACAGAGTAGATAAAATGCACTCACCTATATTTTGGAAAAAATTATATGCACCAGCTTTATCTAGAGATGGGGAAACTACAGCTAAATGTTAACGAAATGTGACGTAAAAGAAAATAACTGCTTTAGTTAATGGCATATGTTGTGCTTTAATGCAGGCCCTAGTCAGGTCTGACTCCACCAATATTTAGTTGTTGCTTTTCCACTTACTATGCAAGTAGTAGCAAGGGGTTGTTGTTCACTAAGAAATACTCCCTCCGTCCGGAAATACTTGTCGAAGGAATGGATGTATCTAGACGTATTTTAGTTGTAGATACATTCATTTTTATGCATTTTTGCGACAAGTATTTCCGGATGGAGGGAGTAGCTTATTGCTCCTGAAAAAAAATAGCTTATTGCTTTCAGATGAGGCTCTTGAAATCATACTGTCGAAAATATCATTAAAAATAAAAAATGATGGCATGTGTGATCTCGATAGTGGACTAAATGATCATATGGACAACTCAACATTGAGTGTGAATTGATCTGCTTGTCTTAAACAGTAAAGCTACAGGGAATGCAGGTATGTAAGCCTTCTGTATGAGATGGGCAGATTAACCATGTGCATATGTTAACTTGAACTTCCCGCTGGGACTTCTATTGACAGGGAGTTCGAAATACAAATTATTTTAATATTTTCCAAAAGTGGCAGGTGTATTGAACAAACCTGTAACTTTGATGTCAGTTTATTCCCCACATGAAAATGGCCACCATCAAATAATAAACCATTGTGACCTGATGTTCTAATAAAGAACGTTTTCTATGAGATGAAGTGATGAACTCACGGAAGGGAAGAGGGAGATTAGCAATATACAGTACGGAGTAATACGTAAAAGAAACTATACTTGAGCTTACCATGGAGTATGCATATAAGCAGAGGTTGTTTCCACCACATCGGCCATAGCCGGCAATGGCAACTACGATCTAATTAATCATCAGAGCGCACAAAGACTTGATGCGGCTG